GGATACGACAACGTATCTGCTGGTCCACTCTTGTACAGAAGGATTTTTTTGCCTCACTTGACAAAATTGAGTCGTTCCAAATAATGAGATACATACCTGATTAAAAGTCGTGGGTGAATTGGTGATGTTACGGCATTATTTGCAGAAACGACACAAGAAGAGCATTTTTGGCTGAAAAATTGGAATTCGCAAAACGACAAGCGTTTCGCTTGAAACAACTTTTATCAGGTGCTGCAATGTCCCCCGATGTCATGTGGCCGAATTGGTGATGTTGCGGCATAATTTGCATAAATTAGAGAAAAGAGCATTTCTGGCTGAAAAATTGGAATTCGCAAAACGACAAGCATTTCGCTCGAAACGACTTTTATCAGGTGCCGCAATGTCCCCCGATGCATGTGTGCGAATTGGTGATGTTACGGCATAATTTGCATAAATGAGAGAAAATGAGCATTTTTGGCTGAAAAATTGGAATTCGCCAAACGACAAGCGTTTCGCTCGAAACGACTTTTATCAGGTGCCGCAATGTCCCCCGATGTCATGTGTGCGAATTGGTGATGTTACAGCATAATTTGCATAAATGACACAAGAAAAGCATTTTTGGTCAACTGCACACAGTCATGGATACAGGAAGATTCCGAACAAATGCAAACAAATCCCAGATCCTTAAAGGATACATAAAAATACCCCAAGGTTACGACAACGTATCTGCTGGTCCACTCTTGTACAGAAGGATTTTTTTGCCTCACTTGACAAAATTGAGTCGTTCCAAATAATGAGATACATACCTGATTAAAAGTCGTGTGTGAATTGGTGATGTTACGGCATAATTTGCATAAATGAGACAAAAGAGCATTTTTGGCTGAAAAGTTAGAATTCGCAAAACGACAAGCGTTTCGCTCGAAATGACTTTTATCAGGTGCTGCAATGTCCCCCGATGTCATGTGTGCGAATTGGTGATGTTGCGGCATAATTTGCATAAATGAGACGAAAAGAGCATTTTTGGCTGAAAATTTGGAATTCGCAAAACGACAAGCGTTTCGCTCCAAACGACTTTTATCAGGTGCCACAATGTCCCCCCATGTCATGTGTGCGAATTGGTGATGTTACGGCATAATTTGCATAAACGACACAAGAAAAGCATTTTTGGCTGAAAAATTGGAATTCGCAAAACGACAAGCGCGTTTCGCTCGAAACAACTTTTATCAGGTGCCGCAATGTCCCCCGATGTCATTTGGCCGAATTGGTGATGTTACGGCATAATTTGCATAAACGACACAAGAAAAGCATTTTTGGCTGAAAAATTGGAATTCGCAAAACGACAAGCGTTTCGCTCGAAACGACTTTTATCAGGTGCCGCAATGTCCCCCGATGTCATGTGTGCGAATTGGTGATGTTACGGCATAATTTGCATAAACGACACAAGAAAAGCATTTTTGGCTGAAAAATTGGAATTCGCAAAACGACAAGCATTTCGCTCGAAACGACTTTTATCAGGTGCCGCAATGTCCCCCGATGTCATGTGTGCGAATTGGTGATGTTACAGCCTAATTTGCATAAATGACACAAGAAAAGCATTTTTGGTCAACTGCACACAGTCATGGATACAGGAAGATTCCGAACAAATGCAAACAAATCCCAGATCATTAAAGGATACATAAAAATACCCCAAGGATGCGACAACGTATCTGCTGGTCCACTCTTGTACAGAAGGATTTTTTTGCCTCACTTGACAAAATTGAGTCGTTCCAAATAATGAGATACATACCTGATCAAAAGTTGTGTGTGAATTGGTGATGTTATGGCATAATTTACCTACGGATAGCGGATTTGATAGGATCCCTGGTCGCGGATCCGTAGAAGATACGGAAAGCGGATTTGATAGGATCCCTGGTCGTGGGTTGGGCTAGCGGATCCGTAAAAATACGGATAGCGGATTTGATAGGATCCCTGGTCGTGGGTTGGGCTAGCGGATCCGTAAAAATACGGATAGCGGATTTGATAGGATCCCTGGTCGTGGGTTGGCTAGCGGATCCGTAGAAGATACGGATAGCGGATTTTATAGAATCCCTGGTCGTTCATTTGGCTAGCGGATTCGTAGGAGATACGGATAGCGGATTTGATAGGATCCCTGGTCGTTCATTTGGCCAGCGGATTCGTAGAAGATACGGAACGCGGATTTGATAGGATTCGTATAACCACCAATGTACTTTTTTGATAGAGTGGGCACTGTCAAACCTGTCTATGTTAGTAAGAAAATTTAATGAGTGAATGAAAAAGTTTATTCCTCTCGATCCTTGCAAATGTTTTTATTTAAGGATTCGTGCAAATGATATATCCGTATTCGTTTACAGTTAGGGATTCGAGCATATAAAACATCGTATCCATAGTGTATCTGCTATCCGAGCGGATACGGTATCACATCCGTTGGGTATTTTGTCGTATCCTTCACGGATTTGGCATTTGTTCGCATTTGTTCGGAATCTTCCGCATCCGTGACGGATCGATTTGACGGATGCGACGGTATCTGCCGGGATCCGTGGCCATTTTGCCCAGTGATAGTACGGAGAGTTGTAAGTTTTGAATGAGACACCCAGCACAAAAACTGTAACTATGGGATCTAGGAATGAACTGAGATGTTTTGGTTCATGTTCTAAAGCAAGCATCAATCCAACTAAAAGGACAATCTCTAACCTGAACCTTTCAGCACCTGGCAAATTTATGACTGTCATGCAGATAACACCGACGGAATAATCGTTTCTACGCTTGAAAGGTTGAAACCAATCTACATTCATCATCAGTGCATGGTTTCTGGGAGCTGAAAGGAAATCTCCCCATTCCATTTAGCGAAATCGTGCAAAACTTTTCCTTCAGAAACGTCTCCAAACAACCCAGCCTGAGATACATTTCGATCCCTCCATGCTTCACACTTGTCCTCGAAACCCTGTTTCTGTACAAACACTTCAAGCGTCTCAATAATACTTTTGAAACAGAAGACTTTCAAAGGATAAAATACTTTTCTTTTAGAAACTGATGGTCTGACCCGATGTAACGGTATTATATTTTGCGTTCCTTTTCTCATCCTTCGTATGTTATCACAGCGCCTTGTACAGTATCAGTTTTATACAGCCGATCCATTGGAAATAGCTTGCAACATTTAGGATCCGGACAGATGCAAAACTTTTCAAAGTTATCTCTGCCGATTCCTAACAGTTTCCATGACATATACAAAGACGATAAGCCCCTCAAACATCGCGTATCTATACCTAATGCCTCAAACACAGGATACAGGAATGACATGAGGTGTTCTAAATTATTGTCACTTATGTGATTGTGAGCCTGCCGTATCACAAAGAGCCATGTTACCACGGTAACGATAGGGTCGGGTCTCGCAACTTTTGTCTAGGGCTTCGCCGCCTTTACTGCAGAACTGTACAAGTTCCTTAAGAGCTGCTGTTCCTCGTCCGAATCATCCCATTCTTCCTCACCCTCGCTGGTACCGTTGTCGTATGTTTCGTCTTCCTCGGACCTATGGATATCGCTTTCTTCCTGCAGAACGGAAATGATAGATAGCTATGAGCCTTTCCTGGTTAATTTGTAACCAGTTTACCAATACCGCATACCTGGGCTCGCGAAGGGGTTTTAGTTTGATCGTTTTTTTTTTTCATTTTACAAAACAAGCAAATATTATTCAAAACCCCAAATCCAAAGCAAGAGAAAAGCGAACTGGCAGACGGTCGCATGTCTCGTTTCACTTACAATCATGAAGATTAATAAGTGACTGGTAGCCTCTTCTTCATGTGGACAGCCTTGATATTGAGGACTGCAGTTGATCCCTCTGCTTTCTTGGTCTTGTAGGGTATTCGCCCCTTGCCAAAGATGTTACCATCCCTCCGTTGTCGGCCTCTATAAGTTAAAATGATGTCCTCTTCCGGAAAGTGAATTGTTCGAAAGTTTTGTGGCAGTTCGTTAGCACCTCGAACGTAAAATGTCCTGGTTAAGTTTCTATTCGAGACAGTTTGGTGACGGACGTCTGACGGACGCTGTCTGTGGATTTCTGCTCGGAGGACATTAAGATATCCAGAGAGTCGATGGTGAGTTGCATTTGCATGCTGCTGTACTTCATGTTGGCTCTTGTTTCTGTGTTGACCTCTCCATTCTCTGATGAAACGGATTCGCGCTCGTCACATAGGTCAAAATTCTGTTTTTTCAGCCCATCCGAGATACTATGATCCCCTTATGGAGGGCAAAGATTGTAATAAACGCTGTCTTTTCACTCGCTGCTGGACCTGCCAATACCATTCTGAAATGTGTTCTTAGTCTCACATCTATGTTACAAACTTGTGTGTGAGAAAGTTTGGAAAACCTTTTATCCATATACGTCCATCCAATCAGAGTTTTGTTCCGACAGCCTGAAATGAAACAATATGAAGCACATCATATAAAGTCAACGTCATTTTATATGTTCAAACATCGTAATCACATTTGAAAATTGTATTTACAGTGCATGAGCGATTGCTTAAAGAAACATTCAATTTCAAATCGAAAGACATTGCAACGGTATGCCACCCTAATAACACGGAATGGCGGTAACATTTAGTACAACACGTTAACAATACACTAGTCTGTACTCCTTTACTTCCCTCTTGTTTACAATCTTCTTGGCTTTCTTGTTTCTTATAATCTTCTGTTCTGTTAATTATTAGAATTTCAATGTTTTCTGCTCATCACGATATCCTTTACATTTAGATTCTTCTTCTTTCTCTTTATTTCCTCCCATAGGAGAGCAGTGTCACACCAATACAACATAAAAGTCACTTCACATATACTAATTAAAATATGCTAATTAAAATATATCTTGTAGGGTATTTACAAGGGTAATCAAACGATCAAAAGATATTTACTTTACGTCACGAATTACACTATAGGGTATTTTCGTTTGTTATCCTCCTTTTACACCGTAATAAAATGTTCAAAAGGCATCAAAAGTCTCTGATTCAGTCCTTTTTGCCTTCACTTTAAAACTCAAGTTCTTCTAGCTAAATCCCTTCTCAGCTACAACGCCATTCTGCAGGTAGAGAGTAGAACCCAGGGAACATTGTCCTCTCTGTTATACCCCTCCCTGACTAGTGTCTCTTTCTAGTTCTGGTCCTCTCTCCTCAGCCTTCTCTCCTCAGCCCTCTCTCCTCAGCCCACTCTCCTCAGCCTTCTCTCCTCAGCCTTCTCTCCTCAGCCCTCTCTCCTCAGCCTTCTCTCCTCAGCCTTCTCTCCTCAGCCTTCTCTCCTCAGCCTTCTCTCCTCATCCTTCTCTCCTCAGCTCTTCTCTCCTCAGCCTTCTCTCCTCAGCCTTCTCTCCTCAGCCTTCTCTCCTCAGCCTTCTCTCCTCAGCCTTCTCTCCTCAGCCTTCTCTCCTCAGTTTTCTCTCCAGTTCTTCCCTGCCTTCTCTCTGCTTCTCTCCGTTCCAACTGTTCACCTTTCTTTCCATGTGGCATGTTTTAGTGCCATAGTTGCCAATGGGCGGAGTAGTTTGGCTGCTGTTGTAATGAAGGCGCTCCACACTTCTGCGTCCACTTCTTCTTCTGTTACTTCCGCTCCCAACATAATTTCTGTAAACCTCTCTTCTGGCTGTTCGTGTACTCTTGCCATCACCCTTACTCCCAGATAGTTCACTAGTTCTTCTGCCAGGGCTTGTCTCAGGTGTATGAATGTTGTACATCGGGTGAACAGGTGGCCCACTAGGTCTTCTGTGTCCGACATACAGGTTGGGCAGGGCTTTCTGTCGTGTTTGGTTGGGACAGTACTAAGGAGGATTAGGTTCTTTAGATCTCTTTGGTGCTCTGGTTGTTGTCTTGCTAGTACCCATAGTTTATGCGGTTTCTCGCTTGTTGGATGTACTTTGTAGAACCTGTGACATGTGCTTTCAGAGGACACTGTGGCCTGCCACCTCTCATTTTCTTTAGCTCGTATTGTTGTCTTCACCAGTTGCTTCCATTCACTTGCTGAAGGGAAATTCGTCGTCAGCCAGTATTCTTCTAACCATCCTTCCAAGCCATATTCTCTTGCTACTTCAAAGCACTCACTGACTAGACCTCTTGCCTTCCTATTTGTTCTTGCTAAGACGTAGGAGTATAGCCTGAACAAGAAGACCTTCTTCGCCAGGATTGTGTTGCGCATAGAGACAAGTCTCCCAAATAGGCATAGTTTGAACCTGTCCAGAACTGATTTCAGGCTCTCCATTCCCAGGGCACCAAGGCCTGCCGTTGTCTCTGTCTGGAAGTGCATGCCGTGCATGCGCTTAACTCCACTTCTATGTACTCTCTCTAGTTTCAAGAGATCACTGTTTGACGGGCTCCAAAACTCGCTTCCGTGTAACATGCTTGGTATCACTAGTGTGTTGTATAGAGATTAAGGATTAGGTTGCTGTCCTTCACTGCCTGTAGCCAGAATTGCACTAATCCTTCCCTTTCCCTTTCTGCAGGCTTGCTCAATGGTTTCCATTGATGAAAGTTTGGCTGCATGTTGTACTCCGACATGAGTCACCACACTTGTTTCTGGTATTGTTCTTGTGCCCATTCTCCAGCAGTAGGATGCATTGGGCGTCTGCTGTATGCTACTTGTTGATCCAAATACAACACATTTACTCTTGTCAGGGGCAAACTCAAAGCGCCATTTTCTTCCATACTGGGTCATGGTGTCGATCATTTTCTGCAGGCCCATCCTTGTGCTAGCTAGGAGACAGATATCGTCCGCTAATGCTGGGGAAGCGCAGTACATGCCTCCCATGCACACTCCACCTGGCTGGGCTTGTAGTTCTTCATGCACGTCGTCAGTAGCTAGTAAGTAGCAAGTCAGAGATAAAATCCCTCCTTGATTCACTCCTCTTGTTGTGTTGAACTCTCTTGATAGACCACCGTTTAAGAGGACTGAGTACGTACAGCCTGTGTGCATGTGTTTGAGAAGTCTCCATAGTTTGCCATTTATCCCTCTCCCGTACATTTTAAATAGTAATCCCTCCAGCCAGACAGTGTCATAGGCCTTCTTAGTATCCAAGAAGCATCCATACACCAGACTCCCTCTCTCCTTGAAGTGATTGATCACTTCTCTTACAATGAACGCAGTTGTTATGTTACTACATCCGGCTTGGCCCCCGCTCTGGAGTTGGTGAGGTATACCCCTACCCGTCACATCCAAAAATGATAATGTCTGTGCCAAAGTAAAGAACAGTCTCACCTAACCTGTACAAGGTGGAGGTGACTCAAATGCCACTCGAATGAGTCTGGACCCTGTTGGACTACTGTGCATGGGCATCTTGCCCCATGGGGCCGTAAACAGCACTCCCATACTTCGCTTCCATCTTTGTTTCTGCAACAAAAATTCTGGTTTCATATGTATATAATATATAGCGTTTATTTACAAAAGACATATAAGCAATTCTTTTGTTGAAATAACATATACATTTAAAAGGAGGTAATAATTCAGTTTTATTGCTTTACATGTGTAGCCGAACGGGTCATGTAGTTTATTTTTGCCCCTTTTCGTTCCCTTTTCCTCGATATGGTACATCTCGTTGCTAATTCCTCACAACACTAGTCTATACTCCTTTACATCCCTCTTGTTTACAATCTTTTTGGCTTTCTTGTCTTATAATGTTCTGTTCTGTTACAATAACGATGTTTTCTGGTCCTACGCTCATTACAATATCCTTAACATTTTGATTCATTCATTGAAATTTATTATTTATTAGTTCTCAGACTGGTAGATGAGGGTAAATTCCCGAAAATTCACACATCAAAGCTATAATTTTCCCGTCCCCCACTACTAAACTCTATAATTTAACTACCGTGCTCGGCTACTTTATTTGTAAATTCACATAGGTACTTCCCAACTCTACCTTGTACCGTCACATCCATAATGTCTGTGTCAAAGTAGAGAACAGTCTCAACTAATCTGTACAATGAGTCGTATTATATAGTTTAAGGCGGTCAGCAGCAGTAGTAAATGTCGCTATGTAAACATTAGTGTTGGGCGGGTCAGGAATAAAGTCTTTCTGACAAACAATACCATTATTGATGGGAATGTTTAAGAATTGACCCTCTAATTCTTAGCTCCCACGATTCCATATATTCCGGCAGGCGTTGTGATAGGTTATTTCTTTGTTCAAATGAAACTTTTTCCCCCGAACGTATTTAAACATAGGTTCGCCAGGGCTCGAGCGCGTTCTTTTTTTGTTATTCCTGTCTAACGGAATGAATTTTTTCGTTGTAGCTGGGAATGTATCCCTTTTCTTTCTCCAGCGTCTCTGTGGGTAATAGTTTGCTATCTGCCACCCTGTACAGCCAACCACTGCTTTCCTGTTTTAGTTTAGAAACGTATCGTACTTCCTTAACAACTTATCTGTACGATCCTGAAATGTTCCTTTTCTACAGCCTTATTTATCTTTGAAGTTACCCATGTTCCGAAGAGGGCTCTCTTCTCGTCGGAATGGTTACCTTTCTTCTGCTGATTTACGGCTCAAGTGTAACATAACGAAAACATTACTTAATCTCCTACCCTGAATGGCATAACGGGGTGATAAAGACCTCGCGGTGGAAGTATCTTGGACTTTGCGCGGCAAAAGTAAAACTTGATGTCGTAGAAGTTATCAGCAATCACTTGTGGGTGCCCAACCGGGTAAAGTGGGTATTTGTAGGTCCCGGGAATACAAACTGAAAAATAAACACGTGTCCATAGGCGACAATTCTGCGTGAATTGTATATTGTATGGACGTAGTGCCTGTATGCGGGTCCCGAGTATTATTGTGAAAAAATTACGTAAAAAGGCCAACAGGATAACGGTTTGGAAAGATTTAAATGAAAGACAAGACATACATAATTCATTGTCTTCTTTATAATATATACACCACTGTCACTCCAAACAGAGCCGCTGTTGCCTGTCTGGACCGAAGGCCCGTATAACCCTTTGCAGTCTCCAAATCTCAGATGTGCGTGGTGCAGGGCGTCGTTGTTGCCGGTGGTGTTTATCATCTTTATTCTAATTTTTGCCAAATTTGCCCCGCTTCGTCGGTGGGGGGCCCGGCGTGGCCCAGGTCGCACCGGCGGGTCTTTTCAGCCGGAGATCAAGTGGCGTGTCAGGACCAGCTGACCTGGTCTGGGTCTGGGCGGCCACGTCGCTCTGCATCTGGCTGTCGGACATCGGCTCATCCTCGACGGTTTGGCTGGCGCCGTCTAGAAACCAAGCCCACTGTGTTGTGTCGGCATCTAGCAAAATAAATAAATAAATGAAATAACAGGCTACGGTTAACGGGCGCTTAGCTAGTTTTGTGTGTAAACGATCACAAAGGCGCATCAACTTAAACGAAATAACACTGACACATGTACCTCCAAAACCGGTGCTGTCCCACGCCTCTAGCGTAATTGGCGCCAGAGTTTGCATTACTTGTTGAGATTCCGAAAGCTCCATGTCTTGTGGAGGTTCGGACAGGCGGCTGGGCCCAGCGCAGGCTGAGATAAAACACAACCATAATATTGTATCGCTAGCAACTACTACCAAGCTGATGTGATATGACTTAAGAAGCGACAACTATCATATATCGACTTACAGCTATCAGCCAGGGCGCCTGTGTTGCCGGCTGCAATGCTGGCCAAGTCGAACGCCATGAAGTCATCCAATGATTGTATAGTCTCCTGATCTGAGGACAAAACAAAGAAAAATATAGACATGTAACGATAGAACGATAGCATGCGGCGATAAGTTTCCCACGTGTGACAAAGAAACAGCAAAAAAGAAAAAAGAAAACAAACATCAACTTACCTAAGCTGGTGGCCAGGAAATTCAGATGGGCCTCATGGTTTTCTCCAAGTTCCCCTAACAGGAAGTTAACTAGGCTCCTATCATCAGCGTCAGTCAGCTGCAGGTCCATGTCCAGGTTCGGCATGGTGTTACCGCCGGTAGGCATGGTGTAAACGGCGGTAGGCACGGTGTAAGCGACGGAGCTTAAGTCGACAGTGTCGGTGGTCTGCTGGGTGTGGGTTGACATGACGCTCTGGTGGCTGCTTATGGCGGGCTGCTGTCGGGCACAGTTCACAGAATGAATGTATTTTGGGAGTCGGCTCATCTATCCCTCAGTGCAGGTCACCAGTATGCTCAGTCCAAGCCCAGAGATGGACGCATCCGGAAGTTTTTTCTCTATTTCATAACATATTTCGCAACATATTGTCCTTTCGACGACATCTTAGGTTGGCTTGTGTGCTGTACGCCTGATTGGGACACATTCGTTGATGCTATAACTAGAGACGAGGCGAGACGCTCCTTTCCGTTTATCCGAGGGGGGAGGGGGATTTGCATGTATTTGTACTAATGACGTGTGTGTAATGTGGATGCTGTGGTGGTATAGTTACGTTCTTCATTCATGTGCATTAGGACAAGAGTCATTTCTATGGAGGTGAATTTGTATTTCCAGGGGTCTACCCAGGATTTTTTTAGAAGTGGCGCTGTCTGTTTCGGAGGACTCGCAGCGCTGTTGACGCTCTCGGCGTCAACCAAAGAACTGGGTAGGGAATGGCGATTCCGCGATAATTATTTGGGTCATCTTTTCGCCCTGCTTTTAAAAATATAACTTCTGGACCACGTTTTTGGGAAAATTCCGTTCGAAAATGTATTGTTGAACAATCTTAATACAGGGGTCAATAAAATTCGTTTTCCTGCTTTAAGCATCTCGTTGATGACCATATCCTCTCCACTGGCTTTTTATTTGTTTTTAAGAGTGTGTATTGCATCATTGATTTCAGAGCTCGTAATTGGGTTATCTAGAGGCCCTGGGCTTGACTTACATGTCTGGAGTACTTGGAGTTTGCGTAGAATTTCTTTTTCAATTTTATTTTTAATACTCAGGTGCATGCTGTGATCTGTGTTAATCTGACCTTGATTCATGATTGAAGCCTCATTGGATTTATAATTTTCTTACATAAAAACCACATAAAATAAACATTCAATAGTTGTCATGGCAATATTTTCATTGCCAACTTTACAATATTTTTGTCCAACCCTCAACCCAGTCCTACCCATTGGGGATTCGTTATTTTATTCTCTACTTTACAGTATTTTAACCAAACCTTAACCCAGTCCTCCCCAATTGGAAGTTCGTAGCTGACCTCTTCCCTTTCATATGACACTACATACTTAGACAATATCCTTAACATTAACAACCACCTCCCTGTACTAGGCTTCAGCAAAATCGAGAGTTGGATC